GTGTGTGTGTGTGTGTGTGTGTGTGTGTGTGTGTGTGTGTGTGTGTGTGTGTGTGTGTGTGTGTGTGTGTGTGTGTGGTGTGTGTGTGTGTGTGTGTGTGTGTGTGTGTGTTGGGGGGGGGGGTGTGCGTGTGTGCGTGTGTGTGGTTGTAACATGCTTGTAACTGACCTTTGATCGCTGCGGTAAATACCTAAATGTTTGCTTCAATCCATAAATCAGTCGAACTCTCGCATCAGCCGTCAACGGTAGACAAATAGTTGCGTCATAAATACACGAGTTTATGAGCAGCGAACGCACCACGACGGCATGTGAAGTCCATACTGGTGCTGAAGGGGTCGTTGTCGTATCAGGTACTACAGATATGTACCCGAGGTACATATATGTATACACAAAGTGTACCAGAATTGTACTACAGAAGTGTACCCTAATCCTAACCCTAACCCTAACCCTAGCCCTAACCCTAACCCTAACACTAACCCTAAACAGACCTCATATAAAAATATAAACATAATACTAAACAACCTAAAACTACCTCGGGTACATATCTGTAGTACCTGATACGACAACGACCCCATCTGCCATACTGGGCAATGGTTGTTCACATAGGTGCTCACATAGTTCGTACAGTTAGTTGTATAGTTAGTGTAGTCAGTTATATAGCTTCTAATGTAGTTAGCTATATAATTCGTAATATAGTTATTCATATCGTTAGTAATATAGTAGATAACGTTGTTAGTTAGGCGCTTGGTAATGTAGGGTTTTGGCGCGCGCACGCTCTCTCACACACACGCTCTCACACACACGCACTCTCACACACACGCACACAGCACACCACACACTCGCACACAGCACACCACACACAAGCACACACACGTACACACACACACACAAGCACACACACACACACACACACACACACACACACACACACACACACACACACGCGCACACACACACACACACACACACAAGCACACACACACGCACATAGCAGCTTGTTCTTCACCTCTCTCAGAC